TGTCGGCATTTGGACCCCAAATACAGCCCTATTTATGGTGGAAGAGATATATCACACGATTGCAGTTAATACAGTTCGCTATACTTATAGTGTACGGTATTCTATGCTTTACAATATGGGATTTGTCACAAATTCCTGAAGGGTTGCAATGGTTTGGTATAGTTCAACCTTTCATCTTTTTCTACATGTTCTTCATGTTTTATTTGAAATCATATAAAAGTAAAACTAAATAATGTATTGTTCAATAAATTGTTAATTATTTAAAAAATATATTTAACAAATTAATGCAAATTTATTTGGTGTTATTTAAATTCAAATATATTATTATTAGTAATTAAAACTTAAGTGACTTTTAAGTTAGAAGTGATTTATACAAAAATATCTCACCATGGTTAATATAAATCGTTTTTACTAACATATAATAATTAAAATGTTTATCTACATGTATAATGTTCAAATAATTTATATCTGTTCATATAGTCATATCTGTCGATGTTATGAATAAACCCCAAACCAAATTATTAACTATGATTAATACTGTAAAATAATCAATGTTATGGACCAAATTCCCGAACCCAATCTGTTCATTGCATCAATTACTTAATATAGTAGTATAGTATTGTTATATAGTTATATAAAATAAATAAAGTAAATATATTAATATAAAATTTCTAGCGTAAAACATAAATCTGATTTCATTTTCACCATTATAGGGGAAGATACATAATTTTTAAATAATTAAAAAATATTTATATGAAAAATTTAAGCTTACTCAAATTATAAGTTAATAATAATATAAGTGTATTTATATTGTTTTAATGATTTATTGCTAATTTAATTAAGCCTAATTCTTTATAATGTACTTGTTATAATTTATTAAGGTTTAATAATTAGGCAGTAGACTTAAAATTAAAATTACCAATTAAAAATTATATTGCTAACAATTAGTTAATATTTCTGCAAACATAAGCTTGTACTATTGTACGAAACCGGATGGTCGATTTAATTAAATTTTAAATAATGTACAAAAAATAATTAAAGTGATGGAATTTTGTGGTTATTGTATAAAAAATGTACTTTGCTTAAAAATTACAATTATTTAAATAACTTGTTGAATGCAAAACATTGCACAAATACTCATATTAATTGATTAACAAATTCAATTATACTTATTTTAACTGAAAACAATGATTTATAATACCATCGCTTATGTATTATATCAGTATTGGTTGGACGAAACACATGAACAAATTAAAGGCTATTATCTGATCGGTGGCGGACCGCAAGCCTTTGTGTTAATTATGATTTCATGGCTTTTATTTGTCACTAAATTGGGGCCAAATTTTATGAAAAACCGAAATCCATTTGTTTTACGCAAAATAATAATGATTTATAACTTTATATTAGTTGTAATCAACGCTTACTATATATACGCGTCGCTAAAATGGCTAGACTTTGGCCGCAAGTCTTGGGACCCGAAACTACCCGAACGTAACCAATGGTCGCACAAAGAGATTGCAGAATATCCGGAAAAATTATTTTATGGTTACTCCAAGTTATTTGATTTATTCGATACCGTATTCTTTGTGTTGAGAAAAAAGTCAAATCAAATCACATTTCTTCACGTTTACCATCACTTTATGGGTAATTACTTTTTCCTTTATATTGATATGAATAAAGCCGGTGGGAAAGTGATTACATGTTTAAACTAATTTAAATCTTTAAATCATTTTGATTGATAACAACAGTTCCTGTGTTGGCATATCTGACGGCCAAACTGTGTCCACAAACTGTAGGCCTCGAAGTGTAAACAAACGAATTGAGATAACAGGTGTGTCAATACATATCGATAATGGACAACAGCCGTAAACCTGGGGTTTATGTCGGGATAAATACCACCTTCTCTATATAGTGTGCTAACGTCAATTATGTCAATGCGATACTTATAGTGTACGTTACATATTCTGTAATGTTTTGCGATTTATCTAAATATCCTGTGGCTCTCAAATGGTTAGTTATAGTCCAACCGTTTGTCTTCTTTTATATGTTTTTTATGTTTTATTTAAAGAGTTATAAAATTAATAAAAAATCCTCAAAAACAAATTAATTCACAATTAATATACACAAATTTTGAGTAATGTAAAATATATATACAGTATATAAATATAGAATATATAAATATACAGTATATACTGTAATTATATAAACATTTTAAAGAATTTATATTAAATTTTATTATAATAAAATATAATTAATTACAATGAATCTTATACATTATTTAAAGCGATATTTTATATGATGACAATACCTCTACGCAATGTACCACACCTTTACCATTCTCTATAGTGTACGCCATATATTACATAAAAATGGGTGATATGAAGTTCATGAATATTATGAACACATATCCCATAGCGTTTAAAATGTTAAGAGTTTTACAATAATTTGTATTTTATGTGTTTTTGAAATTTTATAAAAATTCTTATAAAATTTTAAAAATACGTAATGTAAATTAGTGTTGCGGGCAAAACAACAACTACACTATTCACAAATGAATTGTGGTTAAAAATATAACCTTAATTAATACTAAGAGAAGATTAAATATTAAATACTGTCCCCGTCAAAAATGATAACATTAAAAATTGTTTTAATAAATACAAACCTAGTTTAAAATAAGGTTCACAAAATTCTAGATGATTCCAAATTTTAACGTTAATATCTAGGTAACTAGATTTTGGGATTTTAGAAATTAAGACTCTATAATTTCAACATGATTAGTATATTAAAAACTACGAGAGATAACCAAATAATCAGAAGCATTGTCCCCATTTTAAAAATATATTTACATCAAGGATTGGTATTAAGAATTTTGATATTCCTGTTAGATGTGGATATTCGTTCGGTATATCAGTTCCCTCTATGTGCAGTAAATTGTGACAGTTTTTGTGTTACTACAGCATGAATAACCAGGTAATAGTAGTGCCGTATGTTTCAGGTAACTGCCAAAACACTAACTATTTAATTATTAAATTTTAGTGTTTAGCATATACATGTCGAAAATAGTAACCCAAGGTTACTATTGGCTATAATATACATGGTGTACAGTGTACTGTACAGGCCCTATCCCCTGTATAAAGTAATTACGATTTGGCCTTCGACATCCCAAATTTATAGCATACAATGTTCAATTATAACATATTAAAGAATTGTTAATTTAAATTGTTTTCAAGTATCATTTTATTGCTTAAATTATTGCCAATACTATGGACACAATATTAAAATATTAGATTACAATACTAAGTGTGATTAAGAAGCACACGGAATTAAAATACAAGTTATTATTGTTTGATCATGCTAATTGTATAAAGGGCTATACATTTTTATACAAATTTGGCTCTTAACCGGCTCCTCGTACGACTCCTGAGCATAATTAAAATTAAATACAAAAAGTTACTTTCGTTTTATAGATTTTGAACGATTTTTGTAAGTTTTTAAATAAAACATAAAAAACATATAAAAGAAGATAAAGGGCTGAACAATAACTGTCCATTTCATAGCCGCCGGATAATCAGACAAATCCATGAATGTAAACAATATAATGGCGTACACTATAAGTATCGCGAACTGTATTAACTGAAATCGTGTGATATATCTCTTCCACCATAAATAGGGCTGTATTTTGGGCCCAAATGCCGACAACAAGTAATAGCTATACATAACCACATGTACTGTTGAATTAAGGGAAACAAATACACCGAAAACACAGCTTTCGATGCATAACATGAATGTCATCCAACCCAAGACCGGCACTAATTATTATTAAAAAATTATTAATAAAGTAATTGACCACATTTTTATTCTTAAAATTAGTTTTAAATATATATTAAGTAAATTTATGGGTATTTCACTACCATTTGCACTTCTTTACACTAAACTAAACTGAAAAAAGAGTTGTGTTTCTTATGCCATAGCTTATTTAGTTTGAGTTTTGAATAAAATATAATCATTTTCTGACTGATTTCGAGGTCTATTTCTGCGGACACAACCCGTCTGTCGGGTAGTCTTACGTCAAAAACTTTGCGTCCGAAGTCCAGCCACAGGACAGAGGCGTACACTCCGTACACATTGATTACAACTAATACAAAGTTGTAAAACATCATTAGACCCCTGAATTCATAGGGTTTACGATCTCGCATGAAATACGGGCCCAGTTTTGTAACCAACAATAGCCATGAAAACATCATATTTTGTTTACCTGGTCCCGGTGAGAGTTTGTTGGTTATGGGAAAGTGGGCACCCAGACTAAGACATTAGGTTATGAGCACGTCATATATTTACTACCCTAAACATACCGAAAGTATTCCAAATGAGCTGTCCACTAAACTCTCAGCCAAACAGTAGCCATCAGTTGTGATGTTATTCGTTGTGTTTTGAATTGAATTCTGTATTACAATAAATATTATTCAATAGAAATGATTTAATTTGACGTTTAATGAAATCGTTTTGATTATACCTGATAAAAAGAATTAGCACAAGCCATCTTAGCCAGTAATTTATGATAATCTGATTCTTATTTGTGATTATATGGATATGAGTTATTTAGTCAACGAATATAATTATAAACAAATAAATTAAATAATATCTTTTGCATAGGGTTTAAATTATCTTGAATATTGTTTAAATATAAAGGTAGTATTATATATTTGTCTTTTCAGACACGTTTAATAAATTAAATATTGTAATTTAACTCGTCATTAAATAATTACCATCTGATATAATCAGTAGTTAATTGACATTAAGTATTAATTAGATATAAAGAATAATATACATTTCCACCAATTTATCCTCGATATTTTTCTCATTAAATATAAATTAAATTAACTTAATGATAATTCTTTGTCTAATGTTAATTCATTTTTACACTTTTGCTATTATTATATACTTGAAACAAAAAAAAGTTAAATGGACTTAAACTAAATGTATAAATACAGTATTTGTAAATATAATACAAATAGTATAAACCTTGTGTTAAGGTATCAATTATTAAAATACATTGAGTGCATTACTTATAAATTCAATTTTTATTCAGAATTAATATTAATTTGATTAAACTCTGGTTATGTACAAATACAGTCTGCATGGTTTATATCGTACAGTAGGTATGGTCACACTTTACAGTATATTCGCATTGATAAGCAAAGAATTATATCAGAAAACATCACGGTAAACCATTTTTATACATAACAAACTCTGTTTCTACGATTAGTGCCATGATGAAATTTATTTAAAATATAAGAATAATTTTTAATCACAATTCATGTATGCATGTTAACTCTATGGACTTACAATTGTTAGTGCTAAATCTATGGCAAGTCTATTGTATTCATATTAAATATTTAATACTAGATATGTACATAATGATTATCTATTTTAATTTTAATACACGAATTGTGGTTAACATATAGCATCGCTGTGTGGTCCTTGTTTATAATAATTAAAATGCTAATACATTAGTGAACGAGTACATTTGTTGATTACCATCTTAATTAAAAATGACGCAAATTAATTACCTTGAAATATAATTTACATTATACAAAACTAAAATCACGAGGATAGAATTGGTGGAAAAACTATCAATCATTTTAAATGATAGGCGATAATTATAGTGAGAAAGTGTGGGTAAAACTTAAACTTATCCTCAATTGTTTATTTGATAATCCGTTTGTTTTCTTTTATATGTTTCTTAGATTTTATCTCAAATCATATCGAAATAAAATTAAAATTTAATAAATATATATTGAAATAATAAAAATTAGCATTATTAAAATATTAAAATGTTATGCAAAAAATAAAGTTTAAAATTATCAAATTTTTATTTTTCAATTTTGTAAGATAATAACAACATAAATAAGAAATAAACAAATTTCACCCATAAAGAACATACATTTTAGTACTTCATTTAAGGGGCCGGTTAATTTTTGACATAACATTTTTATTTAACATACGATTTACAAAATTCCTCTAGATTTCTATTCTTAGAATGTACATACGACCCGTAGTTGTATATACGACCCGTAAGTAAGTATGTATTTTGTTTTTTGTTTAATTTAATGAAGAGAAATTCAAAATCTGATTATCTGTTCAAAAGCAGGACTCCGTGAAAGAGGGTTAAATGTGCCCTCACATACAGTATATATTATATATTAGAGACCTTTTATTTATTTCATTTATTTTTATGTTATTATTAATATTTTGATTGTTTTACAATGTATTTACAGTACAATCCAAACTATATATAAAATAATTATATTTAAACTTCCTTTATTATAATTAAGTTATTTACAAAATTAATATATTATTTTAGTGCTTACATACTATGTAAAACTATTGTTATGCTACAGTATTTTGCCAAATAAATGTTCTAGCAGATTATATGATGTTTCTTAACGTTATGTATATAAAAAGTTCTTATGAAGTTCTTAAAGTTCTAAACTTTAGTTCAGTTTTTGGTTGGGTTTACACAAATGTTTACTTCACAACTCATGTTTTATTTATAAAATACATTTATTTTATTTCAACATTGATTAATAAATTGATTTACTTATAAGGATTAACCAGTTTTTAAATAATAATATATTAATTACTTTTTAGAATTTAAATAGTTGTCATTAAAAATATGCAAATCAGTTTATTAACATGTTTACGTTTGTTATAAATACAGGGTGTTCATTTTTATAACCTTAAACAATATAAATATTTTTGTAATAAATAAATACACAGATTAATATATTAATATCTGATTAAATTGACTGATTAACACAGATTAAGATAAATGCTAATATTAAGATATTTATGAATTGTCTGTGCCAGATGATGCTAATTTTTAATTATAATTTTTATTTTCATATGCTATCATGAGTAATACTGTTAGCTTACACGATTAATATTATAAAAATATATTAAAAAATAAAAGCTACATGTAAATATTTATACCTTCTATTCTGACATTGCTCATAAACATTATTAGAATCTTTAATTTTTAAAAAAAAAATTTTCATTTGTATTTATTATTTTGTATTAATGTATTGTTTATAATTTATGTACAGTATTGTTTAAATAAAGCATATTTCATGAATAATAAAATGCAATAAAGTATAATTATCTATAATCAAAACGACAACATAATTACTTTTGAAATAAAATTTTTGAATTGCATACAGTTTAATACATAATAAATTTTTTTAAATTTATAAATTATTCTATACACCTTGTATAAAAAATATTATAATTTCTATAAATATAATATTTAATGTATTTTATTAATTAATCGCGTATATAAACGCATATATCATTAAATCAAACAAAAAACCATGTCATCAATGTTCAAAGGAAACAATTAAATAATGAGCGATAATTATTACGCAAAAAATTAATTTACATTATATTCAATATTATTTCTCATTTATATATAATATAGTCAATATTCATTAAAACAAACAAACTTCTTATTTACTTTATCTCACTGTTATAAGTCAATTTAAAAATCTAACCATGGGTGTATTCCACAACGCTGAAATGGCTGTGGACCGGGCACTGGTCGACTTCACGGCCTGGACGTATGGGCGCCAGAGTTTTGTGTTTTATTGGCTGCACGAGTACTGGGAAGAGGGCGTCGATCCGCGCACTCGGGGCTACTTCTTGGTGGACATGTCGGCTATAACTATGGGCACAATACTCCTAACGTATATCTTTCACGTCGTGTTTCTCATACCATATTTGATGAAAAACCGAAAACCTTTCGACTTAAAGCGGGTTATCATCGCTTACGACGTGTTACTGGTATTTTACTATTGTATTTATAAATATTTTACATTGTAAATGTCTAAACATGCGGCCACTCTACATTATGAAGTAATTTAAGTTAAAACATGTATTATTATAAATACAATGTTTTAGGGTCAATAGATTAATAATTAAATACATGCTAAATTACAATAATTTTTATATCTATTATTTGACATTATTTATATGATTGAACGACAATAGGTAGCGATAAACGGATATTTCTGGGTATACGCCCTTGCTCATTTCTCAGACCTCTGGAATTTTTCAAATCCCAAAAATGATACGTCCGATAAGGCGATGGCATTTATAAATACGGCTCATTTGTATTATTTGTCAAAATTAATCGATTTGTTTGACACGTATTTCATGGCACTGAAGAAGAAGAACTCTCACATCTCGTTCCTACACGTGTGGCACCACATATCGGTTCCCGGCGCCGGTTGGCTCTTCATGAAATACAATCCATGTAAGTTTTCCACCCTATCATACAGGTGAAAATTATCATTAATATTTGTAATGATATTTTAAATCACATTGTTAATTTTTATTGAAACATATTTTAGTAAATAATTTAATTGTGATTTAAACTTAAATGTTGACAGATATGCCGACAGAATACTTGTTCCCATTGATGAACGGTTTCGTTCACGTAGTTATGTACGGGTATTACGCTTTGGCCGCTTTGGGACCCCAATACCAAAAGTACTTGTGGTGGAAAAAGTACATCACCCAGATGCAATTGGTCCAAATGACCATGGGCTTTGTCTGGTTTAATATTGTCTGGTATATGCAGACAGACTTACCGACAGGTTATCTGGCGTGTAATATAGGCAACGCCACCGCACTCTTCATACTGTTTATGAATTTCTATATACAATCGTATAGAAGAGGCGACAAACAAATTAAAACTCAATAAAAATATGAAATACGTCCCATGGTGATTTTATGATTTATTTCTATAGTTTATGTTTTAAAAATGTTGTTCATATTTCTGTTTTTATAGATTTGTTTTATATTAATTTAATAAATTCTACTAAAAACTCATTGTAATACTGCATATATTAATATATTATTAAATCTTACAGTGATCTATGTCATTTAATAGAATGCCGTCACTCTGATTATCTCACTTCATCATTATATTATACATGAATGTAGAATTTTGTATTGTATTAGGGTAAATGATAATTATTTACATGTAGCATGACCGTGTTGGCGTGTAGATTATCAAATTGATTTTATTATTTATGTTTACATTATTAAAACCAGAATCCGAGTTTTTTCTAAATCAGTTTTTACTATAATACAGTTTGGCCTCCACAGGGTTGCTATATAATTTGTGTTCAATTGATATCAATTAAGTACTACTTAATAAGTAGGGATAACATTTTTATATCGTGGTCAGACTGTACTTATTTTACTAACTAAATGCATCGTACAGTATTACTATAAAAAATTTAATTTAATTTAACATTTAAAATAATAATTTAATACAAAATTGGTTTTAAGCAAAGCGTTTATAAGTAACAATAACAATCAATACATATAAAATTATTCAATTGTAATTCAGCATAAATAAATTTTTAAAACATAATATTTTTAAAAAGCAGAAGCAACTAGATAATCATAATTTGTAGCGTTAATCGCTAGTACATGAAACCAAAAATATTGGTTTTATACCACAAAAGCACAGCATGTGTCACATGTTTACAGCTATCGATATTATAAGTGTACACAAAACCAAACGACACAAAGAGAGTGAGGAGTCCGAGTGCGAAGAGGATCTGCTCGTAACGACTATCGGCCGGTTTGGCCAACACGTCCAGTCCCTCCACGTCTTTCACTTTGGGTGTCGACGGCTCCTCATATTTGTTGAATAAGGCGTAACCCAACCAAAACATTATGGACAGTATGTGCGACACTCGGATCATCCATAGGGATGAGTACAATACAAACCGCTCGTTATCATCGATGGCCCACTTGACTGAATCCACCAAATAATAGTCCACCGGAAAGTATACCAGACATCGGATTATTTCCAAAATGGGCGCAAATTTTCTATTTAAACAAATGTTTTACATAAATTATTATTAAACAATTACACTGAATATGTTGTTATAGTGGTTGCACACATACCTGCCGTCAAAAATAGCGCCGATTGATGTTAGAAAGAGGATAATGTATAGCATCCCAGCAAATCCCTTGAGAGCTGAGTATAGCTGTAATTTTAACATAAATAAACAATAATTAAATCATACATATACAGTGTTAAATCTATTGAATAGAAATTAGTTTTCAATAATTTTTATATTGATATGAATTATAGATAACTATGAGATATATAAATGTGTTTTAAAATATGTCATTATTTGCGTTATGTTTAATGTTAGTGTTGTTGTGCTTCTGATATTTTAATGGTAACTATTAATTAATGGGTAGTCTATAATGTATGGATGCGTACAATATATGGATGATCGGCCAATTGTATGAATGCCACCAAAACGATAGTGCCGTGTAATAGCACATAAAACTTGCGCCACAACGGGATAAACGGATCGTATGAGTACTTGGGAGCGGCCGGATCGGGTTCGGGCACCTCTTTGAGCAAACCAAGTCGTGGTTTGCCGGGTCCCCATCCCGGGCCCTTGAATAGGGCCGACAGCTTATTGCCAATACCATCGACGGAATTAAACTTTTTGGCCACATCTCGATAATAGCCAAACTGAAGGGTCATTGAGTCAAATGTGTTGGGCGTCGGGGAGACGACTCCGAACACAATCTTTTCCTTTTCCTCCTGATATGTGCCAAAAATGCGGTCCCATATCATGAGAAGCGCCCCATAATTCTTGTCAATACAGTAGGGATTCTTTCCGTGATGTACGCGATGCTGACGGGGAGTATTGATTATGTACTCAATGGGCCCCAAATGGCCCACCACTTCGTTGTGCAGCCATATCTGGTATATCAGACTGAATTGGATGTGCACTATAAGTATGGGCGGCGGCACTATCACCGCCAGTGGCATCGGGAATATCTGTGCGTTAATAATAAATTCATAATTATATCTATGATTACTATTGTTATTTTTCTTACATCGTAAAGGACCAGATCGACCACTGAGTCCCTGATTGTTGTGGTAATGTTGACGTCCTCTGCCATGTGATGGAACTGATGGGCCGCCCAAAAGATATTGATCTCGTGAAGTGCCCGATGGGTCCAGTAGTACGTGAACTCGACCAACAGTAGCGAGAAAAGCCACGTCCAGACTGAGTGCAACGGCAAGTCCACAATGCGGTAGTTGTCGTAAATGTATGAAAACACCACAACAACCACACCTAACAATATGGCTCTTTTGAAAGCACCAAACAGTCAACAATTTGATAAACTAGATACAACCAAATAATTACCTTGTTAACGTAAACAACAGCAACGAGCCTATATTGACAACAATGTCCTGGAATCGGGACAGGTCCTTTTTCTGGAAAAACCTAATGATCTGTTCCAACACCACTAGCAAACCGGCCGCTGGAAACAACTAGATGACAAACAAAACATTCGTACCAGGTGGCATTTTATATATAATTATTTGGTAAAATAAAGCAAAACAAGGTAAAAACATTTGAAGCAATATTAAATGAATGCAATGCTAAACTTACGGCCACTTCATAATTTGGGACATCCTTTGCGTGATCTTTGGTGTGATCTAAAGGCGACAATATGTAGAAGAGGGACAACAGTTGTTCCGTAAACTGTATGGCCGTGTCTTTTACACAGAGCCCCAGATCTGCCGCACTTTCCGCTGTCATATTGCCAGCCATTGTCTATGGCTTGTAGTAATACAGACAGTACTTCTTGCCTAACAAACAATAGTCAATATCTGCTTTAATTTTAAATACTCTATTGTTTGACATTTAACTAAAACTAGTTTATAAAGTAAAAACTCGTACGATTATCACTAGGACAATTTTTGGACAAATTTCGCAATTCTAATTGGGCAAGATAGTGTTGTGACGCGTTTAACGTATCATCATTGTAATAACTTTCTTAATTTACATATTTACCTGTCCAATTGTTTACAATTTGTAATTAATTTTTATTGCTATATTTGTATTTATCAAATAAACAATTGAGGATAAGTTTAAGTTTTACCCACACTTTCTCACTATAATTATCGCCTATCATTTAAAATGATTGATAGTTTTTCCACCAATTCTATCCTCGTGATTTTAGTTTTGTATCATGTAAATTATATTTCAAGGTAATTAATTTACGTCATTTTTAATTAAGATGGTAATCAACAAATGTACTCGTTTACTAATGTATTAGAATTTTAATTATTATAAACAAGGACCACACAACGATGCTATATGTTAACCACAATTCGTGTATTAAAATTAGAATAGATTAGCATTATGTACATATTTAATATGAGTACAATAGACTTGTCATAGATTTAGCACTCACAATTGTAAGTCCATAGAGTTATTATGCATACATAAATTGTGGCTAAAAATTATTTTTATATTTTAAATAAATTTCATCATGGCACTTATCGTAGAAACAGAGTTTGTTATGTATAAAAATGGTTTACCGTGATGTTTTCTGATATAATTCTTTGCTTATCAATGCGAATATACTGTAAAGTGTGACCATACCTACTGTACAGTATACTGTACGATATAAACTATGCCGACTGTACTGTACATAACCAGAGTTTAATCAAATTAATATTAATTCTGAAGAAAAATTGAAATTATAAGTAATGCACTCAATGTATTTTAATAATTGATACCTTAACACAAGGTTTATAAAGTTTACTTATAAAGTTTACTTATAAAGTTTACTTTACTATTTGTATTATATTTACAAATACTGTATTTATACATTTAGTTTAAGTCCATTTAACTTTTTTTTGTATAATACACAATCAAGTATATAATAATAGCAAAAGTGTAAAAATGAATTAACATTAGACAAAGAATTATCATTAAGTTAATTTAATTTATATCTAATGAGAAAAATATCGAGGATAAATTGGTGGAAATTTATATTATTCTTTATATCTATTTAATACTTAATGTCAATTAACTACTGATTATATCAGAAAGTAATTATTTAATGACGAGTTAAATTACAATGCTTAATTTATTAAACGTGTCTTAAAAGACAAATTTATTATACTACCTTGATATTTAAACAATATTCAAAATAATTTAAACCCTATGCAAAAGATATTATTTAATTTATTTGTTTATAATTATATTCGTTGACTAAATAACTCATATAATCACAAATAAGAATCAGATTATCATAAATTGCTGGCTACGATGGCTTGTGCTAATTCAATCTATCAGGTATAATCAAAATGATTTAAACGTTAAATTAAATCATTTCTATTAAATCATTTTATTGTAATACAGAATTCAATTCAAAACACAACGAATAACATTACAACTGATGGCTACTGTTTGGCTGAGGGTTTAGTGGACACGAGTAAACCTTATGAAAGCCATACAAATCCCATCATTTATATACTGCACGAGTATTGGATTACAGAATCAGACCCACGGGTGAAAGGGTATTGGTTGTTTGAGAGTGGCCCTGGTCCATTTGTTTTAT